TATGCTAACGACAGAGCTAAGATTTGTTATATGATAGGTTTACTTACAGGTAGCGCCCTAGCCTGGGCATCAGCTGTATGGGAGAGTCAGTCCAACCTTTGTAATTCTTATCCAGAGTTTGCAGAGGAAATGAAGAAAGTATTCCACCACCCCGTCAGCGGTAGGGACGCTACCAAACGCCTCCTCTCACTGCGACAGGGCTCCCGTAGTGTAGCCGAATACTCAGTGGAATTTAGGACCTTAGCTGCAGAGGCGGGTTGGAATGACACAGCGCTTCAAGGGGTTTTTCAAACAGGGCTAACTGATTCTGTTAAGGATGAGTTAGCAGTGAGGGACAAATCAGCTAACTTGGATGAGTTGGTCTCTCTAGCCATAAGACTGGATAACCGCCTTAGGGAGCGCCGTAGGGAAAGAGTCAGCCGATCTCCTGGGTCACTCCCCTCTCGCCCTGTCTCGTCTCCTCTCGCAAGATTCAGGTCGGAAACTTTCCCAAGTCCCAGTGCCCCATCTGAAGTCTTTTCTCCTCTCCTGTCTTCAGAGGAACCGATGCAGCCAGGCAGAGCCCGACTCACTCCCCAAGAACGTCTCCGGAGAATAAGAGAAGAACTTTGTGTCTACTGTGCTCACTCCGGTCATTTCGTGGACACATGCCCCCAGCGCCCAAAAGAGGGTGCTCGCCAGTAAAGGTGGGGATACTGGTGAGCAAGGCTGTTTCTTCCCCAACCCCCCAGACCCGCAAGCCACTTGAAGCCACTGCCTGCCCTAGTGGACTCTGGGGCTGATGAGAGCTTTTTGGATGCCCAACTGGTTGCCTCAGCCGGCATCTCAACTCAACCTCTGACAGCTCCTCTCAATGCTCGAGGTCTGAATGGGAAGCTCCTGGCACATGTTACCCATGTCACCGAACCCCTACATCTCGTCCTGTCCGGTAATCACCATGAAATGATTCAGTTCCACGTCATGTCCTCCCCTCACACACCCCTAGTTCTGGGCCAGCCATGGTTAAGACTGCATAACCCCCACATAGACTGGTCGGAGAATCAAGTAAGGAGTTGGAGTTCCTCTTCATGCCTGCGGTCTGCAATTCCCCCAGCAGAGGTCGGTATTCCCCCAGTTCAGCAGGAGCCACTCAACTTGTCCGCTGTCCCTCTGGTTTATCATAGCCTGGGAGAGGTTTTCAGCAAGCAGCGAGCCCTTTTTCTGCTCCCTCATCGCCATTACGACTGCACAATAGATCTTCTTCCTGGGGCATCTCTCCCATCCAGTCGCCTGTTTAACTTGTCCCGAACTGAGCGTGAGGCCATGGAGACATACATCAAAGACTCACTCGCTGCTGGCATCATAAGACCCTCTTCTTCCCCTGTCGGAGCAGGCTTCTTCTTTGTATCCAAGAAAGACCGCTCCCTGCGCCCCTGCATTGACTACCGGGGCCTTAACAACATCACCATCAAGAACAAGTATCCACTGCCCCTCATCAATTCAGCCTTTGAACCCCTACAGAAGGCCACCATTTTCTCGAAACTCGACCTCAGGAATGCTTACCACCTGGTCCGCATACGTCAAGGAGACGAGTGGAAGACGGCGTTCAACACCCCACTAGGCCATTTCGAGTATCTAGTGATGCCCTTTGGACTCACCAATGCCCCAGCTGTCTTCCAGGCTCTTGTGAACGATGTCCTCCGTGACTTCCTGAACCTTTCAGTATTTGTGTATCTGGATGATATTCTGATATTCTCACAGACCATGGAGGAACACACCCAACATGTGCAGCAGGTTCTACAAAGGCTCCTCGAGAACAAGCTGTTTGTCAAAGTAGAGAAATGCAAATTTCACGTGGATTCAGTGGACTTCCTGGGCTACATCATTGAGCAAGGTCAGGTGAGAACAGACCCAGAGAAGGTACAAGCAGTGGCACAATGGCCCAAACCTTCCACCAGGAAGCAGCTCCAACGTTTTTTGGGCTTTGCAAATTTCTATCGCCGGTTCATCAGAGATTACAGTCGTGTTGCCGGTCCTCTCAACCAACTCACCTCCCCAGCAATCCCCTTCTCGTGGACTACTCAGGCTGAGGCTACCTTCTCTGAGCTGAAGAGACGTTTCACCTCGGCTCCTATTCTTACGAATCCTGACCCATCTCTGCAGTTTATTGTTGAGGTTGATGCATCCAACACCGGTGTGGGGGCTGTTCTATCACAACGCTCAGTCTCCGATCAAAAGCTTCACCCTTGTGCTTTTTTTTCCCGACGACTGACAACCCCTGAGCGCAACTATGATGTTGGCAACAGGGAGCTGCTTGCTGTAAAGCTTGCGCTGGAAGAATGGAGGCACTGGCTGGAAGGCTCTGAACATCCATTCATTGTGTGGACAGACCACAGGAACCTGGTCTACATACAAACTGCCAAACGACTAAACTCCCGTCAGGCACGCTGGGCATTGTTTTTTGGCAGGTTCAACTTCACCCTTACCTACCGACCTGGTTCTAGAAACCTTAAACCTGACGCATTGTCCCGGCAGTTTGCAGTGGATCAGGACCCCATAGTTCCTGACACCATAATCCCTGCTACCAGAGTGGTGGGCGCTGTGACATGGGAGATTGAGAACTCAGTGAGGAATGCACAGAGAGACCAGCCAGATCCAGGAAATGGTCCAGATAACCGTTTGTTTGTACCTGACTCTGTCCGCTCACAGGTTCTCCTATGGGCCCATGCTTCCCGCTTTGCCTGCCACCCGGGTGTGAATCGGACCCTATCCCTCCTGAGACGACACTTCTGGTGGCCTTCCATGGAAGCGGACTCTCGAGCCTTTGTGCTGGCCTGCACTGTCTGCGCCCGTAGCAAGTCTTCACACCAGGCTCCTATCGGTCTACTCCAGCCTCTCCCAGTCCCTAGTCGTCCCTGGAGTCACATCGGCCTAGACTTTGTTACCGGCCTCCCGGTTTCACAGGGTAACTCAACCATTCTCACTATTGTCGATCGCTTTTCCAAAGCGGTTCATTTTGTGCCTCTTCCTAAACTCCCCACAGCCTCTGGAACTGCTGACCTCCTAGTCAATCATGTGGTCCGGCTTCATGGCATTCCAACAGACATTGTTTCCGACCGAGGGCCACAGTTCATATCTCAGGTATGGAAAGCATTCTGTCGAGCACTTGGAGCATCTGTCAGTCTCTCCTCAGGCTATCATCCTCAGACTAACAGGCAGGCCGAAAGAGCCAATCAGGACCTTGGAGCTGCACTTCGCTGTGTCACCTCCCGGAATCCCTCCTCCTGGAGCTTACATCTGCCCTGGATTGAATACGCTCATAACTCACTGTCTAGTGCTGCCACCGGTATGTCCCCATTTGAATGTTCTCTTGGATATCAACCCCCTATGTTCCCAGCCCAAGAGGACGAGATCGCAGTTCCCTCTGTCCAAGCCCATCTTGTCGTTGTCGGAGGATCTGGAAGGATGCCCGCTCTGCCCTTCTCCGCTCCGCTGAACGCAATCGGCATATTGCAAACCGCTACCGGACCGCAGCTCCCCAGTTCCAACCAGGTCAGAAAGTTTGGCTTTCTTCTAAAAATATTTCTTTACAAGCTGAGTCTAAGAAGTTGAAACCATGCTTCATTGGTCCCTATGTGATCGAGCGCATAATCAATCCATCTGCAGTTAAGACTCAAGCTGCCTCCCTCCATGAGAATTCACCCTACCTTTCATGTGTCCCAGTTGAAACCAGTGTTTTCCAGCCATCTCCCCTCCACCCACCCTTGTTATTGATGACCACCCGGCCTACACGGTCCGACGGCTGTTGGACATTCGCCGCCGGGGCCGTGGGTACCAGTATCTGGTCGATTGGGAGGGTTATGGTCCTGAGGAGAGGAGCTGGGTGTCCCGCAAGCTCATTCTAGGTCCCTCTCTCATTCGGGACTTTCACAGAGACCACCCAGACAAGCCTGGTGGTTCGCCTGGAGGCTCCCGTTGAGGGGGGTGTACTGTCACGGCCCAAACTGTGTCCCTGTGTGTCCCTGTTTGTTCCCCTGTGTGTGTGTGTGGAGGGGGTGTGGTTTCCCTTGCAGGCAGCAGCCTGATTGCACTCACCTGGCCGACCGACTCAGCTGTCCCTCATCAATCCAATCAGGACACAGCATATCTACTCCAGTCTCCCAGCAACTCACCGCCAGATTGTTTTCTACACCAGTGGTATTGCATCCTCCTGGCTGCTCAATTCAGTTATCCTGTCTGCGTGTTATTCTGTACTTTTTGTAATTAGTTTCTCCTTGTGCTTCCAGTGCGATCCCTCAGCCATCGGTCACCAGAGCTTCCAGCCAACCTGCCTGCTTCTTCCTTCACCATACCTGCCTGCCCTGTTCTCAGTCCAGCCTGAACTGCCTACCTCCACTCGGGACCTCCATAGTCTCCAAACCTGCCTGAGTCTCCGAACAATAAACCATTTAAACATCTTCAGTCATTGCCTGCGCCTGGGTCCTGTTTAAAACATAATCCTAACAGATATCACTGTCAAATCAATCGACAGTAAGGGGAATACTTACTTCCGGGTGTACAATTCTCCGTTATCCAATGGGAATGGACGCTCACATTGCCTTTAACAGCCGCCGACACAAACGAATGCTGTGCTTCCATGAGCGTCAAATCCCGCCGCAGATGGGAATACATTGCAATCAGTTGAAAGCTATTTGTGTCTGTTTATGAAGCTGAAGGAGCCTAGGAGCGTCCCAACTGCACGCCTCGGGACCCTGACCAAGCGTCGCTCCTGGACGTTTATGGAGTGAGAGTGTGTTGCCCTTGTGGTGGAGTTAGCACCATTGTAGCGAGCGGTTATCTGGCGGTGGTGCATAAAAACAAAACAAATGAAAGTTGCCTGTAGTTGCCTTAATTTGACCAGTCAACAGAAACCTCATCAAAGCAAGCCAACCAGCTTCTCAAGCTGAAAAAACCTCTCCGAATAGATGAGGTGCTTTCATACTCTTCAATAGATGAAGAGTATGACAGCATGTTTAACCCACCGGCAGTTTGTCAGATTTTGTTGCCTCAGCTGGAGTGTACACGTCCAGATACTGACAGTCCTCTGAAATCTCTGTTGGTGTGTATTGTAGTGACATGATCCTGGAAACATGCACTACTAATTCTGGATCCTGGATACACCTCAAATAAAAAGAGAGACACAGGTTTGTGTAATCTAGAGCAGTGGTTCCCAAACTTTTTGTGCCCAAGGCACACCAAAGGACAAGTAAAAATCTCAAGGCACACCTATTGTGCAAAATAGCCCTTATAACACGTGTTATCACTCGTATCATGTAAAATATCTGTAAATGTGCATAATTATTTACTAATGCCAAATAAAATGTGACAAAGACAACTATATTACTCATGAAATATTTATTAATGAAATATTTCAGAAATTAATTTGAAACTTTATCAAATTAGGCTTCATCAAAGCAGCAACACACTCATTTAAACCAGACGGGTCACAAAATAAAAAATGAGGCAAAGACTCAGCAGAAATTCAGCACAGAGAACTGTCAATGCAAGGAAGCTGCACTGTCCATGGGCCTGAACTACAAATTATAAATGTAACATTTCAGCAATCAGCATTGAAACATGTGCTATTGTAAATATTTTGCCGACTTACAAATTAGTGAGATACATGTGCCTGTCGGGGCGCGCAGATTTTTTGTATCCTTGGTGGCACTGAGGAGAGGGGCACCCCCAAGTCCTGTTCAACAGAGAGCCGTGACCTCCTGTTGTTCATGTAAACCAGAGTAGAGAACGCCAACTCACACAGGTAGGTAGTGGGAAAAAGAAGAAGTTGCTCAATCGCGTGGTGGGAGATGCTTGGGTACTCCGATGCAGAAGCCAACCAAAACTGATCCAGTGGGAGCTCACTAAATTTGAGTTTCAGTGTGCGGTCCACACGGAGCTCTGCGCACTCCTCTCTCTTTCATAGTGAGCTTTTCTGTTGGGAATTCCTGGTAGAATGGGTCTCAGATCCAGTCATAGTCCTCGATGTCAGCCACACGTGGAAAATAGCGGTCAAATCTCTCTTTTAAGGTCTGAAGGTGTTTGGCATATACAGCATGCTCCCTAGCTGCCTGCGGCGCAGCTGATGCCAGCGGGAACATGTCCATGGAGCCCTGTTCCAAAGCCTCGCGCCACAGGATAAGTTTGCCCATAAACCCCCGAATCTTGTCTGTGGATGATAAAATGTTTTAATTCCTGCCCTGAAGCTTGGCGTTTAACTCGTTGAGATGCCCAAATATGTCTGCGAGGTAAGCCAGCCTGGCGCTCCACCTCTCATCCGCGAGCTTGTCTTTATGTGGGACAGCGTGTTCACGTGAAAACTCCAAAAGCTCTTCCCGAAGCTCATAAAGACGGGATAGGACTTTCCCCCGTGACAGCCAACGTACCTCTGTGTGGAGGATCAGGCTTTGGTGGTCGGCTCCCATCTCGGCGCACAGCTGGGAGAAGAGGCGAGATTTCAGGGGCCTTGATTTGATGTAATTCACCATCTTCTCCCGTAGTATGGCTTTCCATTTCTTTGCAGAAGAAAAACGTCTCTTTGATAGAGTCAGCATCAACATATCTGACGTTTGCCAGAAGTTGGGCAGCCCCACTTATGTCAGTAGATTCGTCTATTTGTAGGGAACATCTGCCGCTCGCCTGCAGTGCCATAGCGTCTCTTCTTCCTGAGGAGACTAAAGAAAGATCACCTCTCTCCTCAGATTCTGGTGAACTTTTACCGCTGCACCATTGAGAGCATCCTGACCAGCTGTATCACAGCCTGGTATGGGAACTGCACAATGCTCAACAGGAAGGCACTGCAGAGGGTGACGAAAATCGCCCAACGCATCATCGGTGTCACACTCCCTGCCATCGAGGACATCCAGGGGATACGGTGTTTGCAGAGGGTGCACAACATCTTCAAAGACACCTCTCATCCTGCAAACTATCTGTTCGTCCTCCTACCCTCGGGGAGGCGCCTCAGGAGCCTCCAGTCCAAGACCAGCAGGTTCAGGGACAGCTTCTTCCCCAGGGCTGTTACCCTGTTGAACTCTGCCCGCTGATAGACTCTAGCCCATACCCACCACCCACCACCCACCTGTTTATATATTTTACTGTCAATGCCGTTTATATTTGACTGTCAATGCCGCTTACACTGTATAGATTAATCTGTTTATAGCCTATTTTTAATTATTCTATTTATAATAATTCCATGTACAATTATTCTTACTATGTAGACTCCTGCACTGCTATTTTGCACTTCTGGTCAGATGCCTAAACTCACATTTCGTCACTAGTACATGTACTACGTAATGACAATAAAGTTGAATCTGAATCTGAATCTGAATCATAAGACAGGTAACTTTCATGATACTGTCTGCTGACAGTTTTTTTCCTCTTTTCTTTCGGTGGTGGGTTGTCGGCAGTCTCTGCACTGGTGGTTGGTGGTTTGCTCCGCACAAGAAAGCGCTCCATTTTCCCTCTTGCGTGTTTCTCTGTTTTAATGTTGTCCTTCAGCCTTCGATGTGTCACGGTCTTATAATTCCCACCTGCAACTGCGTTAACAGCGAAATATGGGGTTCTGTGAGGATTTTTTTTTAAAGAATTGTTTTTAGGTATAGAGTTTGCCTCTGTATTATGAAATGAGTGCATACAAAGTACTGATATAGTAAATAAAAAAATAATTATTTTTGTGTAGTTGTATATTGCAATAATAACGTATGGTTGTCACAAAATCCCACGGCACACCCGGACTTGCCTCACGGCACACCAGTGTGCCGCGGCGCACCGTTTGGGAACCACTGATCTAGAGAACAAACTGTCTGTCCAATGCTGTGCTGCTGTTGATGACTCAGCGGTCACACGGTCTTACATCTTCGGCTGCTGTGTTCCGTCTCTCTCCCCATCCCAGGGCTCTGTATCCTGGGGAGCAGCCAAGCGGAGGGGCCCCACTGGGGGCCGGGCAAAGGGGATTCCCAGGAATTGCTTCATCCTCCTCTCTGTGCCTTTCACCGTAACATACTCTCCTCGGATTCGGCCATTTTTCAGAGAAACCACAGGGTCAATGCTCCCTGTTGAAGATACAAATGTGTGCTCCATGTGGGCCATTCCAGTGTTTGGAGAATAAAACAATTCACATATCAAAACACTAAGGACCTCCTCTTTTAAACAGTGTACAGTATACTCAAAATGTTTATTTAAGTTCATTTCATATTACTGTCAGAGTGAATTGATTTGTGATTCAAACGTGTAGACTGTGACTGTTGCTGGTAATGACAAAATAACGTAAGCTAAAAGCCGTACGTTTATAAAACACATTTTGCTGGATGTCTGAGAAGTTTGATTGGGTTCATTTAATTGCCAGGGTTTTGCGCATAATTTTTTTTGTAGACAAAATGACGGAAAACATTAATACTGCAAACAATTAGAACATTGTTTGGTTGAAGTTGGACATACTGTTGCAATGGTAATGGTTTTTCATCAAGAAAACACATTTAGAAATCCTTCTATGCATAAGTGTCAGCAGAAAACACAGTTATGATCCATTTTGAAATATCCACTACTGGTTTTAAAATGTTTCATTTTCTAAGGAAACATGCAAGTGATTGAAAAAACAAACGACAACAAAAACTAGATTGAAATGTCAATCCAGGGATTACTTTGTGGGTTTGGAAATTCCTTAATCCTGGTTATGTTTTAGAAAAGCCTTTTGAGAAAACCTCCGGTCCTGAAAAGTTGTGAACAGGCTTCCTTGCAGCCAAGTGCCAATCTAGTAATTCTACAGTATGTAACTTTTTTGTGTTGGATCTTTCCTACATTCTTTGGGCTGCCAAGATATTAGAAACGTGTACAGTGAACCGATGCACTTGTCGCCCATAGTGGGTGGTGCTTCAGAATATCCTGACCTGATAATGTGGTAAAAAATGTGGCTTTTGCTATTGCTGTTAGGAAGGAGACCAACAATGAGCAGCGCCGGCTCCAAGAAATCACAGACATAACTACAGTGTGCTTTCAGAGAAAAAAGACTTCTGCCCCTGTCCTGGCCCCCCACACACACACACAAACTTGCAACCATCACAAACAGCCTCTTTTTGCTCCATTGATTTAACCTCCGATGCACCAGGACTGCTGAGTCATAAAGATAAATCCTGCTCTTCAACCACTAAGGATCAATGTTAAGATCACTGTTACGGATTGCGGAAAAAAGTAGGACCCAAATGCAGACTACAAAAAGGGTTAAGGTCTATAAACAAAAGCTGATGACAACAAACATGACTTGAAACAAAACGAAAGCACAAGGAAAAAACATTTACCGAAAGACTGACCGTGACTGACATGGAGGGAGACAGGAAAAACAAACAATGAATCGACGAGGAAACACAGGAAAAGACAAGACTAAATACAGGGAGGGGTAATCAAGGAAGAAACAGCTGGGTAAAGGAGGGAGAAACACAAGGGCAACAGGTGAACACAATCAGACACACCAGGGAAACTAACGACAGGGAGGAAAACACAGGGAGAAGGACCAGACAAGAAACAAGGAGGAAAACATGAAACAGGGAGAACAGAACAGCAAAATAAACCCAAACATACAAAACTAAAAACGTGACATAACATAAGAATCGTGACAGAACCCACCCCTCAAGGGACGGATCCTAGACGTCCACAAACACAGTCCAATAATTCGAAAAGGGTGGGTGGAGGGGGTCCGGAGGACAGGTCTGGGTAGACAGCCCAGAGGCAAGGCAGAGGAACAGAAGGTGGTCTCGGGCGGACGACCCGGGGGCAAGGCAGAGTTCATGGAGGGGGTCTCGGGCGGACGGCCCGGGGGCAAGGCAGAGTTCGAAAAGTCAGGGGGCCGGGCTCGAGGGCGAAGACCACGGCTGGGGAACTCAGGAGGCCGGGCTCGAGGGCGAAGGCCGCTGGGGAACTCAGGAGGATGACGTACGCCGCAATGGGACCCCTCCAGTGTCAGCTGGATCGCTGGAGCACTGGAATCGAAAGCAGGAGCTGGTGGGACCCCTGGCGGGACAGGCGTAGACGGAACTCTGGACGGAACATGGACTGGTGTCAGTGGGACCCCGGACGGAGCAAGAGCTGGTGTCGACGGGACCTCCAACATGACAGGACATGGTGTTGGTAGGAAATCCGGCGGAGCAGGTGTCAGCGGAACCCCCAACAGGACAGGATATGGTGTTGGCAGGAAACCCGGCGGAGCAGGTGTTGGCGGAACCCCCAACAGGACAGGATATGGTGTTGGCAGGAAACCCGGCGGAGCAGGTGTCGGCGGAACCCCCAACAGGACAGGATATGGTGTTGGCAGGAAACCCGACGGAGCAGGTGTCGGCGGGACCCCCAACAGGACAGGATATGGTGTTGGCAGGAAACCCGGCGGAGCAGGTGTCGGCGGGACCCCCAACAGGACAGGATCAGGTGTTGGCAGGAAATCCGGTGGAACCCCCAACGAAACAGGACATGGAGTTGGCAGGACCCTCAGCGGAACCCCCAACGACACTGGACGTGGAGTTGGCAGGACCCTCAGCGGAACCCCCAACGCCACAGGACATGGAGTTGGCAGGACCCCCGGCAGAACAGTAGTTGGCGGGACCTCCAACGGCACAGGACATAGGGTTGGCAGGACCCCCGGCAGAAGAGTAGTTGGCGGGACCCCCAACGGGACAGGACATAGGGTTGGCAGGACCCCCGGCAGAACAGTAGTCGGCGGGACCTCCAACGGCACAGGGCATAGAGTTGGCAGGACCCCCGGCAGAAGAGTAGTCGGCGGGACCCCCAACGGGACAGGACATAGGGTTGGCAGGACCCCCGGCAGAACAGTAGTCGGCGGGACCTCCAACGGCACAGGGCATAGAGTTGGCAGGACCCCCGGCAGAAGAGTAGTCGGCGGGACCCCCAACGGGACAGGACATAGGGTTGGCAGGACCCCCGGCAGAACAGTAGTCGGCGGGACCTCCAACGGCACAGGGCATAGAGTTGGCAGGACCCCCGGCAGAAGAGTAGTCGGCGGGACCCCAACGAAACAGGACATGGAGTTGGCAGGACCCCCAGCGGAACCTCCAACGGCACAGGACATAGGGTTGGCAGGACCCCCGGCAGAACAGTAGTCGGCGGGACCTCCAACGGCACAGGACATAGGGTAGGGACTTGAGAGGGAACTCGAGAGGAGACTTGAGAGGGAACTCGAGAGGGAACTCGAGAGGAGACTCGAGAGGAGACTCGAGAGGAGACTCGAGAGGAGACTCGAGAGGAGACTCGAGAGGTGACTTGAGAGGAGACTCGAGAGATGACTTGAAAGGGAACTTGAGAGAGGGCTTGAGATGGTCGGTACGGCGACAGAACACGGGGAGCTGGCGTCGGCCGGAGAGCCAACAGGTGACGAGTTGCTGGAGTCGGCCGGTACGCCGACAGAACACGGGGAGCTGGCGTCGGCCGGAGAGCCAACAGGTGACGAGGAGCCGGAGTCGGGACCATGGCTGCTGGGTCCGGTACTTGAGCCTGAACCATGGCTGGAACTGGAGCTGGGACCATGGCTGCTGGGACCGGAACAGAGGCCTGGACCATGGCTGTATGGGCCGGTTCTGGAGCCGGAACCATGGCTGTATGGGCCGGTTCTGGCGCCGGAACCATGGCTGTGGGGACCGGAACTGAAACCTGGATCATGGCTGTGTGGGCCAGTTCTGGAGCCGGAAACATAGCTGTATTGGCCGGTTCTGGAGCCGGAAACATGGCTGTGTGGGCCGGTATTGGAGCAGGGACCATGGCTGCTGGGCACGGAACCGGAACACGGAACCATGGCTGTGTGGGATGGTACTGGAGCACGGTACCATGACTGTGTGGGCCGGCACTGGAGCACGGAAACATGGCTGTAAGGTCCGGTTCTGGAGCAGGGACCATGGCTGCTGGGACCGGTACCGGAGTACGAGCAGGCTTCCTGACCTTGCATTTTTTAGAGGTCTTTTGGAGGATCGAACAGATCCAAGTTAAAATAATAAGAATCCGCTGGGTCCATAGTTGGTCGATTCATTCTGTTAAGATCACTGTTACGGATTGCGGGAAAAGGTAGGACCCAAATGCAGACTACAAAAAGGGTAAAGGTCTATAAACAAAAACGAGCTTTATTACAAAAGCTGATGACAAAAAACATGACTTGAAACAAAACGAAAGCACAAGGAAAAAACATTTACCGAAAGACTGACCGTGACTGACATGGAGGGAGACAGGAAAAACAAACAATGAATCGACGAGGAAACACAGGAAAAGACAAGACTAAATACAGGGAGGGGTAATCAAGGAAGAAGAAACAGCTGGGTAAAGGAGGGAGAAACACAAGGGCATCAGGTGAACACAATCAGACAATCAGACACACCAGGGAAACTAATGACAGGGAGGAAAACACAGGGAGAAGGACCAGACAAGAAACAAGGAGGAAAACTGAACTTACCTACTGTAACTCCAGCTTCTATGAGTATTGGCGTAGCCCTCTAAGGCTATCGCTATTGGGTAATCCCCCTGCGCACCCACGCAGCACTGAAACACTTGTAGTCCACGCCCGCCCGCAAGGTGGGCCCCACCCTCGGGCTCCCTTCCGGCATAAATAGGAAGGAGGCCCGACAATCTGCTCCCACACAAAACAACTTTTCTTCAGCTATTCGTGGAGCCAGTGGGGCCCAGAACTTAGAGGGCTACGCCAATACTCATAGAAGCTGGAGTTACAGTAGGTAACTTCAGTTCTATTTCGTATATGGCTTCGCCCTCTAAGGCTATCGCTATTGGGTTAAGGGCGAAGCAAGATGTAGTCTGCGCCCCACTGGGTCCCCCCGGTACAAGAAGCACAGACACACCTGCTCAGATAATAACCCATGCCTATTGCGCCATGCGAATGGCGCATCACAGTCCCTGGAATATAGCATAACATGAATATTTACCATGAGGGGACGAAGGCTGGGAATAATACATACCTGCCACTGTGAGAAAGTAGAGACGAAGGTCACACTTTGCCCAGTGACAGAAAGGAGGGGAAATAGCAGCTCTCTGCGTGCAGACAGGCAGGAGAGCACACAGCTGGATCCCTGACATCACTC